TGCCTAACTATAAATCCTATGCAATCACGCTGATGATGTCTACCGTCCGGATGAAACAGCGTAAGATAGGTGTATGTCGGCTGCTGTATAGCGATGCTGTCATCTTCAATTACGGTGATTAAATTAGTTATCAGTACTCTGAAAAAGCTAGGTGCAGGGTATGCTGCATTACTACGGAGTAGCCGGCACCGACACCACCAGCCCGCTTACGCAGCCATACCTGCAGGGGAGTTTTCACACCAGCAAACAGGTACTCGCCGGAACTAAATTATGCGCGAACACATGAAGCCCTCCAGCTGATGTTGGCTTCTGTGTTTCAATGTTCTCGTCAGTTTTCAGTTTCCAATCAGCGGCCTTTGTTGCGAATTGGCTGTAAAGGATGACGTCACGTGCCCGATGCACGAAGCAGCATGGAACGGTCTAGATCTCCCACGATCTCGATGAACTACACCGGGCTGGACGGGCGGTTCCGGTCACCCTCTAGCTTCTACTAATTCACTTTGCCCAGATGAAGTTTTAACAAGGAGACAAACTTTCCTCACGAGGATCACTGGGGCTTCTGCGCCTCCACATTGGCGATGACCTCCAATACTGCACAGCGAATGCCGTTCTTTCCAAAAGCGGATGCCGCCGTTCTGTCGCCAAGGTACGAAACCCCGCCAACTCGTCCGAAGACCCTTTCGCCGATCTACGACGAAGTCAATGTCGATAGACCAATAGGATCCTGGCCCCCCGATGCAGAAAGCTGCTTTTATCCTCCGCCGGCCGAACCCTTTGCACCGGCATCGATCCCCGAGAAACCCAAATGTCTTACCGACGGCTACTTACGCGCCTTTCTGGCCGAGAACGAAAGGCTCAGATCGTCAATGCTGTGGTACTACACCCGCGATATTGCCAATGAAACCGAGTTTCTAGCCGGCCTTCAGGAGAAGGCATACTTGGCTCAAGAATCCACCGACTGGGAATATGCTGTTATTGGAATTCTTGACGTCAATTTCTACATCCGCCTAGCCTCGATCGGACTCCCTCTAGCTATCCTACCACGCGGCGAAACATTATGCGCCCACACGGTTACTCAAACCCCTGGCGTAAGTTACGCCTTCTTGCTACTTGTACCTCCTCAAGCCACTAAATTTTCTACGCCAGAGCATATTTCTCTTACCAGACTTGATGGAGGATTGGAGGTTTAGAGAGAGTCCATACGTCGAGTCTGGCGGGCTTCGCGCTTACGCCGGTGCACCGCTCCGCTTACAACACGAGTCTGGCGACTGCGTCAGCCTCGGATCGCTTTGTGTGGCTTCAGGGACGAGCCAGGAGCCCTTGACCAGATTACAACAGCAGACGCTCGCCCGCCTGGCTGACTGGGTTGTCTCGGATATTATCCAGTGCGCCAGGGCAAGACGCCAGCGAGAACGGCGTCAAATGTCCGACTTCATATCCGCAGTGCAATTGGAAATGGGCACTGTTGTGTCCGAAGAGCCGGTCTTCCGGATTTTGAAGGCCACGTATGAGAACGCCGTTATCTCCCTGCAGTCGTCCAAAGCTGGACACATCAAGATTGAAGGACGTGACCCGTTACTCCTCAGTGATTTCGGAGGCGGGCTTTGGGAGGACACCGGATACATTGACGACTTCATTGCCAACACCAATCAACGAGACTTCCCATCAAACAAGGTAGTTCGTGTCATAACCGCGCCATGCGAAGTCATATCAGGACTCTCTTTACTCGTCGTGGCATCAAAAGACTTCCGACTTGTTTTTGATGACATTGATGCGTGGTTTATCCAGGCTTGCGCCAACATGCTCTCTCAGATATGGCATAAACGCCTTCTGGCGGAAGCCATGACAGCAAAAGAGAAATTTCTTCGGGGGATTTCTCACCAGCTCCGAACCCCGCTTCATGGCATCTTGGGCTCTGTGGAACTTCTGGCCGAAGAGTTAAAATTGCAAACCGGAGGCGGACATGCGACATCATCGCCGGACATGAGCTTGACGGTCAAACCTGCCGGATCTGCCATTTATCTCGATACTATTAAATCGGCAGGGCGAGATCTGATCTCCATTATTAATAGCATGATTACTCTTGACAGATGGGTCGATATTGCAGTGACTGATCGAGACTGTGGCACGCACTCTCCCGACGAACTGGAAACGGAATTAGCAAGAGAAATACGAAAAACCACTTTAGGCGACACGAGATACAGAGCTTCCGTTTTCTTCAGTCATGACCTATCACCGGATTGCGCCAGTTTTCACATTGATCTTCGCCTACTCAAGGACAGTTTGCTTCCACTTATAATCAACGCCATTCAAAACACTCCTGAGGGAATTGTGGCTGTAACCGCATCTATACAATTGGACCGCAAGGAGCTTACCGTCGATGTTGAGGACACTGGTTGCGGCATTCATTTCAAAGACCAACAACGTATATTCTTGCCATACGAAAAAGTGACATCGCACACAGCCGGCGCTGGGCTTGGACTAACGTTAGCTCTCAAGTTTGCAACCTTACTTCAAGGGTCCGTAGAGTTAGTTTCGTCCGAAGTCGGCCGTGGTTCGCATTTCAGAGCTACGTATCGGGAAGTTGAGTGCTCAAGTTCTCCGGGCTCGTCACAGCCGCAAGCTCAGACGCTCAAGAACATACCATCCAAGTTTCATGTCCTGACATCCGGCTCGAGTAGCCGATCATTGTGCAACTACTTTACCCGCTTTCTTCTCTGTCATGGCTTTCATTCTTCAGACAGCGTCCAAGGTTCCTTCATCATTTTTGATTACACGCCCGATGTGGAACTGCAACGCTCGATTCTGTCGCAGATCCCAGCAGGGCACGCAGCTATATGTCTCGTCCCAGCTTCAGAGGCAGAATCATGCCTCGACAATGTTCCCGACACTATATTTTACTTGAGCGGGCCGTTCTTGACGTCGACAATGAACTCGATACTGGAAGAAGTGGATAAACGACTGGGGAAAACAATAGCAACCGGCGCGCGCCTTCTTGAACCTGATGCGTCGGCACTTGCCCTCTTGAAAATAGACGTGGCAGACCCAAGCACAAATATAGAAGTCAGCCCACCTACCCTTCTGCGAGAACATGCGGCACAGCCGGTGTCGAATTCCGAGACCGATCCCAGCTCGGCTTCACCAACAACAAACCACCAAGTCGATACTGAAGATTCCGAGAGACCAGTGACAATCAACCCAATCTTTGATGTTCTTACAATAACCAAGCCCACCGCACTGTTAGTTGATGACAACAGCGTCAACCTCCGCATCATGCAAATGTACTGCAAGAAGCGAGGCCTGTCTCATCACTGTGCTACGGACGGTGCGCGAGCTGTAGAAATATTTTCGCAGCAGCAGTCCTTAGTTGCCAACGGGAAAGGTGAAGGGATCCAATTGATCTTCATGGATCTTCAAATGCCAGTGTGCGATGGTATTGAAGCCACCCGGCAGATAAGAACACTGGAGAAACAGAACGAATGGCCGGGGAGTATTTTGTTCATTGTGACGGGGCAAGATAGTTTGACGGACAGGAAGGCTGCGGAAGCTGTTGGCGCTAATGACTACTTTGTGAAGCCTGTCGCCCTTAAAATTTTGGATAGTGGCGTGAAACGATACTTCCCGTCCTTTGAGCTCAAGTAGAAGTCGACCATTTTTAGATGACGTCTAAGATCCAGGGTATACATGCGTCGGAGCCTAGGCTCCAGAGGCCTGGCAAGGATCTGTTGTGTTGTACAACAACGGGATCAACAGTCTCGGATTTTTTGCATATGTGGACTGCCATTGATTGGCTCCAGATGTTTTATGTTCATGATAAGCGTTGCGATAATTATGTCTAGTGTGTTCGCAAAAGGGTCATGTTGCAAGGCGCTAGGATATGTTGGGACTTTTGTACTCCTTGATGAACTAAATAACATGACTGTATGATCAAGCTCCAGCTATGACTGATATAAATGTGCGAGGAACAATCGATGAGCCAAGTGCACCAGCGCTGGTGGATGATGTCCACTCATTGCGCCCACTGGCGAAACTTTGACATGCAAAATTCGGGCGTCCTGCTCCCCTCCATCTACTTTCTACGGGCGACTAATTATAGCACCGGCTGAAACTTATTAAGAGGCTGTTCAATTGAACCCGCTAGCTGACCTGCGAGCGTCTTGTCTTCTACGACCCGACCGCTCTCCTCCTTACTCTCGGGTACTTCTATCGGTTCCGGTGGAATGTCTCCGAGAACGCTGGCATGATGGATCGTGTTGCACTTGGAAATCGCGTCTCCACCATTGCCGTTCCTTGTTGCCGTTCCTTGCTGGTACAGACGTAGAAGTCGCCGTTTATAAGGTTGGCTATGACGTCGCCGTCTTCATCCCACTTATGGCCTTCCGGGTTGTCCTTGTAACCAGCTTGTGGGCTCTTATTCTTTTCTACCTCAACCCCTTCCACCGTTACTGGTTTCGTCGACAACATGTCTGGTGTGGACGTGGTTCGGTCATAGCACTGGCGGGCCGCGTAAACCCTGACAGCTCCGCTTAAAGGCGGCTGTCTACGCAGACAGAATGACTCGCTTGGTGTACTTAGGGTAGATGAGATCTCGCCATCCGTCATGTCAGTGTGATATTGGTGCCACCAAAAAAAACAAGGCTGACTTATCTATCTACCTTTATAACGGGCCAAAGAGAATAAAAAATGCCATCCACATAAATTTGGTAATGAACGGGAGACAATTCGTAAGTGATGCGTAGTCGGTGTGATGTTCGGTGATAGTGGAACTGTGGTACTACTCGGTCCGGAGCAGCTTTGATTATGCAGGGAACAACAAAGTATTCTGCGCATGTCTTGGGTAGATGCATACCGACAAGGTAGTGCGCCGGGTGATGAGGAATAAAAATGAATAACCAGGAGAAAACGACCAAAAAAGAAAAAGAGCAATACGCCGCCAACTGGACTAGTGGAACTTGGAGAGGTAGCTCGTCGAAACAACGACAAAAAAATAAACTGGAGAATGGAGAAACGGGGAATTGAACCCCGGACCTTTCGCATGCAAAGCGAACGTGATAACCCCTACACTATTTCCCCTGTTGTTATTATCACTTACATCTATTTCCAAATAAGAAGCAATGAGACCATTTCCTTCAAACAGTTGGTAGTGACAATTGCCTCGTTCATTTGAAGGTCGAGGTTCGTGTCAACAAGCTTGGCAGCTCGCCGAATATACGAATATAGCCCCATTTCTGACACCTATTCTTCATGCAATTGATTGCTCTCTTGCCGCTCAATACAACAACGGAGTAGCCCGACAAGGACGGTGAATTCATCCGATAACCGCACCACTCCGGCCTTGCATCCGGCTGACAGGGGGTGCCGTGCGAAATCCGCTACGAGCTACCATCCGTCTCGGCACAATTTCGCTTTTGTAAAGTCCTCACATCGATTATGCAGCAGAGCCGAGCTGGAACTCGCAAGACAATGCTCAAGAGGCATTTGGACAGGATCGTTGCAATGAAAATGGCACGCTCTACGATTTTAATACGCACACATTGTCGCACGCTTGCTAGCCCTGCACTGTTTTACTGTTAATATTTGCGCTTTCATTTTCACTCGATATGGTATTACTAGCTTCGGCTTTCTTCCATGGTCGAGATGCATGTTGAATCCTGCAGAAATTCGAGGTCGCAAAGCGCATGAAAGCAAAGTTGACACTGTTATGAATTTTTTACTTTGAACCTCGCAATTTGTTTTTCTCGTTCCCTGCTAAAGCTTCATTGTGTTTGCCCCATATATTCACTTTCATTGGGCTTGTGATCCTGAAGACCAAAATGTGTAGGATAACTGAGACTGAATGCTATTGTGTTTGCAAGGAGAATAGAGCGACAACATAGCAAGTATCTTTGATCAACAAAAGCATAGTGTGAACAGTCTTAGTGTAGTTCTTTTCAATTACGTACCAATTAATGTATTATTTAAAAACCATTATAAGCTAATACATTGGGGGGGTCCATGTATTCGTAATATGACTTGCCAGCGTCGTATATCTCTTTAGATGTGAATTTTTTGTTTTGTTTCGTAACCTCATTCTTAACACGCCTATATGATGGAAAGCTTTTCTTGTCAATAGCATTCTTTGTACCTCTGTCAACCATCATTTCGCACACCGCAACCCAAGCCACGCCTCTGCCTAGGAAGTAGGCACTTAAGCCAGCGACGTGAGAACTGGCCATCTGGGTACCTGTGAGGCTCCTTGTCCCGGCGCCGATCCAGGTGCTTAAAACGTCACTCCCGGGAGCAAGTATATTGACATGCTTCCCATAGTTAGAGTAGTCAGCAAATTTGTCGTCACGGTCAGTAGCTCCGACAGTGCAGGCAGATTCCGCAGAGCTTGGAGAGTCCGATCCGATATTAGATGCCCAATTTCCAGCGGCGTTGACGACAGTAAAGCCCCACCCGGCCTTTGAAACGGCGATATTCAAAGTGGGAGAGTAATCTATAGACTCTGAAATATGTATTACGCTGCCATTAGGGCACTCGCTTGAGAAAAATCGCTCGTGGCTCAGAAAGTCCAAGGCTGCAATCAGTGTAGACCTAGCAAAGGGTTAGACAATTGTATAAATGTGGAAATGGAATGAACCTTACGCTCTGACTGTACCAGTATCCGTAATTTTAACACTGTAGAGAGTCGTATTTTTAGCAACTCCATATGTTTTCGAGCCGATAATCCCTGCGTGATGAGTGCCCAATCCGTCGTTGTCACCATCGCTGCCGCCAGAGAAATTTTTTAAAAACTTAGCACGACCTTCAAATTCCTATGTTTCCGAGTTAGACCTGATGACTATTAGAAATTTAAAAGCGTCAAATCTCACAGGGTGATTTATTTCAATTCCAGAATCCAAAATATACACACATGTTCCTGAACCGGCGCTCTTATCATAGGTGTACTTAGTGTGGCGACGCCGGCGGTTGGAAATTCTTGCCAGACCCCACGGTGCTCTTTTCTGTGTTGCAATATTCTTCTTGTTGCGTCCAATAAAAGAATAGCTTCGCCGTTTTTCCTTAATAAAGTCTCTGTTGAACCTTTTAGTGTGTTCTCCAGTATTAACTGGCTGGGTAGATGTTTCGCTATCTTGCTCAAAAAAGTCAACCTACCGCAGGTTTAGTAGAACTTTCATTAAAAATATCGACGTGGAAAGCTAATCTTACCTGGGGATTTTGGTCAAGTTGTTCTAGTTGAGCCTCGGTTAAACTCGCAGTAAATCCAACAATACTATGGAGATACTTGAAATCTGGCTTGACACCAATAGAAGAAATAAGATTTTCAAGAATCGCTGTATCTTTCCGTTTTAATACAACAATATATCTATCTTTGACCATCTGAACATAAGATGAGTCTTCTGGGTATAATAGTTCAGCACTAATAGCTTGAGACCAGAGTAGAGGCAGAATGACACAACTTATAAAACGCATTATAGATAATTGAAAATAGTAACTGTAGGTTGTCCAGAGTTATTGAAAAGCTATAAACTTTTAATAGCAAGCAGTTGAATTCTACTTATTTATAATATTTTACCTAATTGGTAAGATAACCCAGTACCTCATCTTGAGAAACTCACTAAAGTGAAGCGCTCAAGGTTGCCTTCATTGCTAGGATCAAATTTTCAATGCAACCTTAATCGTACGAGATCAGTAATACAATAGAATGCTTGCGCTCTTTGAGTGGATAAAAACAAAGGCTCTCGTGGTCTTGTTTTCATGACGGATTTTCTCGGCAAGATTTCGCCTTGCACGACGAGACATCTTTGTTGTTAAGACGAAACAACTCTGCATAAAATAGTTATTATATCTACATGGCACCTCTCTAGCGAAATGAGCCATACGATGTAACTTTCATAGCAAGAGTTATGCACAATATTGCTTGCCAAACGTGGTTAGCATTTCGCATGGGGATTTATGGGGATTTATGGGGCTTCGTACGATACAATTTGGCGAAAGACGGACCTTAAAGCTAAGATAAACTGTTAGGACCTGGATTTGATGACTTATTCAAAAAGAGGATTTGACCGCCATTTACAACTGCTCTATGCCCCAAAGAGGCAAAGTTACTGTCGGAGAAAAATTATGAAGTTTAACATGTCACAAGAACAAAATTAACCATCAAAGGACGCATCTGGTATCATAAGAAGCAGTGGAACTAGACGATTAGGATATCAACGGCAACGTTAGAGTATGAGATTTTTCAACAGCATCCGAAGGAAGATTAAGTTGACATTGAAGGAATCAAAAAGCTATTACGCTAACCTGACTGCCCTGTACATTTAGTGAATGACCAGGCACTTCATAATAGAAACACAACATCCCCTCTAACAAAACCCAGCTTTCCCTGCTCGCTGGAGCTGTTGTCTAGTTTTGAAAGTATAGATACCCCGCGCAATCACGACTGAATATTTTGCTCCACGTACGAAGACACAAATACTCCCAAATACTCCTTGTTACCGAGACCATCATCGAAAACAAGCAACCGGAAGGTTTGAGTGCGAGAGACATTATTGCTGGCTCGTTTAGTATCGTTATTAGTGGAGACTAAAATCCATGTATCCTTGTACCAGCGCTAGGTAACCAGAACCCCGGACGATCCTCGTTCCACCAACCGGCAAATTCCCAGACCCTGTCGGCTCCGATAGTCATCGATCCTGAACTTTTGGGCTCTGGAGTAGAATATTTCATCAAATCCGAAATACGGGGTCGTTTCTCAGAGTTACGTAAGTGGGTCGAACTTTTTCCAATTTGAAGATAGTCTACAGCACTCTTCATGGCGGCCGGCAAACTAAGTGTGATTCATGCTTGGATAATGATATTTCGTGTTTTCTATGTAAGATTCTGCCACACGGATCAAAAGTGATAGGCTACTTATTGTGCAGATTGGGATTGTAATACATGTGTAATTGTGTTATCGTTAAGGCCCAGACTATATCTCAGAAACTTTTTCGCATTTATGGTTGCGTTGACCTGAGGCACTGCTGGATGCGTTATAAACTCTCTAAACTTCAAGTTATTATGGAATTCATAATAAAACGGCCATCCGCCATAGCCTGTATCCTTATAATCGTCGTATTCCATTCCAAATTTAAGCGTAAGAAGTGTTTGTAGCTCCCTGGCTCTTGTAACATCATCCTGATCCGAAAAAACGAGCTGAGAGGATATCTGGATTACTCTTCCTTAATACTCTAGACTGACCAATGGTTAAGGCAATGTTAAAGTGACTTGGCTTGTCGAGTGGTGTTTCTTGTAAGTGTGCTGCAATTTTCCGCAACTTGATAGTAACGTCATACTCATCCGTTAATAATGGTCCCGGAATTTCAGGATCTCCTATGTATATTTTTCTGTACTGGATAAACATTTCTCTAGATGTTAAGTTGCCAATCATTTCTTTGTTGAATTGCGCAGAAATGGAGCTTGTTGCGTTGTCGTTACCGATTCTAATAGTAGTCGGAAGGTCTAAAAAAACATGTCGCTGTCTGCGGATAATCTCACCAGGTAACCCTTTCGTCACCTCTCGGTTCGCTTGCAGTTGAGCGTCATGTATATCGGAGGCATTGAGGTTTACAACACTCTGTGTGATGGCTTATGTTACCCCTATTGCTTGAGCTCCTTCGGAGAGAACGGCGAGAGCTTCGATAGCAAGGGATGCGTTCAATTTATCGTGAAATCCTCCCTCCGCAAGCAATGGATGCGAATATATGTATGTATAGAAGTTGTCGTAAAGGAACTTATCCCAAATTCTGTCACGGGACTCTTGTACCTCCTCGTTGCTGGGCATGTCCGGTGGATAAAGATAGGTCATAATATATCGAGAGATATGTAGGATGATGCCGAATGGAAAACCCGGGGTTAGCAAGAACCCATCAGCGAGGAGACATAGAGCCGTATCATATGTGTGATAATTGTCTTTGCCCGCACGAGAGACTGCTTGGAAACCACAGCCGACGGCAGTAAATATTTCTGTTAAAGCTGCAAGCCGGTCCATGGTGGTTGTACTATGTATGACGGTCTCAATAAGTCCCTTAATCCATATAGTACCTCCAGCA